TTCAGAGTTATTATCTGAATCCCGATATACATGCTAAAAGGTTAAAAACTTCCTTAATTTCTGTCCGTGAGTTTATTTTTCAGAGTTATTGTCTGAATCCAAATATACATGATAAAAGGTACAACTTACTTAAGTATTGTCCATGAGTGTATCTTTCAGAGTTATTGTCTGAATCCCGATATACATGTTTAAAGGTACAAATTCCTTAAGTTTTGTACATGAGGGTATCTTTCAGAGTTATTGTCTGAATCCCGATATACATGTTAAAAGGTACAACTTCCTTATGTTCTATCCATGAGTGTATTTACAAACATAATATTAATTTGATAATTGTTATTAAACAATTTTCTCTCTTTGTCTATCTTTATCTTGTGTATATAAGTTGATAATTGTGATATTCAGAAAGTATCGTTTTTATGATCTTTACGTTTGCCTTCCCATAATATCTACGTGACATTTTGGTGGAAGTAAAATTGTTAAAAGTTATTCAAAAATTAATCAAAATTTCAGGTAAACATTTATTTTCACCAACAATAAGTATTTCTCTATACATTGTTGTTACTCGAAAGCTCGCTATTCCAAATAAAAAATACAGGTATTTCTGAATTTTTAAATAATATTTGAAAATTTTGATTGAGGTGTTGGGTAGCTTAAAAAAGGCTAACTGAAGACCTTGATCCCTGGGTACTGTGGTCTACAGCTTTCCTTGAATGCCTCCAGGATTCCACCGCCGAGTCAAGACTTACTCCAAGAAGACGATGTCTCTATAAACGCTATAACAACAAGGCCGCTATAAACTCCGCAAGAAAAAGTCATAAATCTTTTAGAGTCTACTTTCAAGACGCTGAGGCAACACTTGACCGAAATACGCAAAAGATCAGTATCATCAAAATTTGCAAATCTAGGTCAGAGCTCCAATAGAGACGGAGCTTTGTAACCGAATATTTTGTATTCAATCAAAATATAATTATTTCAATATTTATTCAGCAATTTCTCTCCTTTTAAATATTAGAAAAATCAACATTAGACAAGTTTTAAAAATTAATTTCCTCTAGATCAAATTTTTTAGGTGTCAGATATTTTTATATACTAAATTATTTAGAAAATAGAGCAATCCATAAATCAATCTTCAATTAAAAGTCATATATTGGATGATAAATATCATTTATTTTACCAATATATGCCTTTTTAATTGGATACAGAATTATATTATCATGAAAGATGGACGATAGGTTGTTGTTGTTGTCGTGTCCAATGAAGAGCCTCAGATGTCTCCATGCATCTCTATCACAGCAATGTCCACAATCTTGGGTGTGTAAAGCTGCTGTTCTGGGTCTATGTCAATATTCTGCAAGGCTGTGGCCATTGCTGGGCATGAGAATATGTGAGTAGGTGTTAGTTCCACACCAGGACAGTTGTTGTATGTCCTATAGGTTCTTGTGCCATCTGGATGTATTGTCATTACTGTATAGTGTTTTGTTCTAAGTCTTGTTATGGACGATGGATGATTGGTCCATCGAAATATTGGATTGAAAATATATATGTGTAACAAGAAGGACCCTTCTTACTTTAATGTATTTGGTATTATGAAAATGGCATTTTCTGATCGTGCAACTAAAATTTGCTGATGGTATTTGGTCAATTCTGGAATAATTAAAATACAATGATTAGTTGATATTTATTCCGATAGATGGCGTAATCCATCAGCAACTTTCAGTTGGACGATCAGGAAATGCCCCTTTTTTCTCAATTTATCCACCTGATCCAAGTACAAATTAACTTTTATATTATTTTTCATATTTATCATTAATTTTGATGATTATTTGTTGGTTAGAAGTTTGTTTGGAAATGTGACTACATCAGCCAATTGTTTATTCAGTTCCTGACGTTTCAGTGATCATTCCTATAGGAAAAGTGACAGCGAATCACTGAAATATCGGAAAGTAAATTAAAATTTGGTTGAGAGAGATGTAGCATTAATATTCATATAATAAATTGAATATTATATATATATATATTTAATATACGTAGTGAATTATAATAAATATATATGATGTTTATGAAAATTACAAAACAAGCAGTATACTTTTTTTGCTTATCCCTAGAACAAGCGGTACAGGCCATGATAATTATGATGGGTAGAAGTAGGCGACTGTTTTTACTGTTAGTGCACCACATGTCTACACATGTAAAAAGCAGTTCGACTTTGCACTTACAAATATGCCAGAGCCCCGTTTGGTTACTTACACTTACTGATTGGATTGGACTTTTGCAAGAATCGGGGGCCATTGGAGCATTTTTGCTTTAAATAAGAAAAAGGTGCCCAATGCGGGAATCGAATCCGGGTCGTAGTGGTAGAAAACCAATGGTTTAGACCATCCTTCCACGGACCCCCAAGCAATATACTAATATTTAAAAATGAATATAATTAAAAATATTTGATGTAAAGATGTTATGAAATATAAAAATATATATATAGATTGCTATGAAGAGTTTTAACATATCCTAAATGTACGTATGAAATTATCTAAAATTGTCAAGAAAGTGTCTCCTTCCTGTATACGAACAACAAGATCTTCTTTGAAGTTATAAAAAAGATAAACCTGATGGAATTAATTTGAAATATTCAGAACGGGATATTAACATTTTGCAGCGCCTAAACAAAAAAAATACTGATATAAATAAATATAATAATAGAAATCAACGTCAACATTGAAAATATTGACGTTGTAAAATCAACAATGCTGTATCTTTTAATTAATATTTTATAGATAAAAACATCTAAATTACCTTTCATCTAGAAAACGCCTATGGCGATAGTTCATATCGGTTTTTAATCGTTTTTGTTGCCATGCGATGTCCGCTGTAATTGAGAATTTGGACAAAAGTAAAGAACCTTGTCTTTAATATCCCATTACACCAGTATTATTAATGTCATTTTGTGAATTTTAATAATATCATATACACCTATCCCCCGATTTACACGGTTCCTGAGAAAAACGTGTAAATCGGGGGATAGGTGTACACAGAAATAAAAATAAAATGCATTGACAGGTTAAAATATGTAGTCAGCACATAGGCTCGGAATTCCTCGTGAGATGTGCGCATGTTTTCAATCACAGTAGAATTTAGTATAGTGCGATAAAAACAAAAAAAAAAAATAATTGGAAAACCATGTAAAAGCGATAACGTATAAAACAAGTACAGTACCGTGTAAATCGGGGGATAGGTGTACTTGGTAACTGATAAATAGTGTCGCGGAGATAAATAAATAAAGCAAGACAGGGCAAATTTTGAAATAATTCATTATAAGGGGACCGCGATACAACGTGAAATGGTAGTACAAAGTGATATTGTACTGGGATAAGGTGCATAAATTATGAAAAAGACCTCTCCTTATCGTGCAACGCCCGAAACGCGTCCGTGGTTAGCTTTTCTTGATTAATCAAGAATAGGTATTTGGAAAATTCTGAAATAATTAAAAATCAACGAGAATAGTTGATATTTATTCCGATAGATGGCGCAAGCCATCAGCAACTTTCAGTTGCACGATAAGGAGATGCCTTTTTCATAATTTATTATAAGGTTTTTTTTTTGCTTTTAAGTTCTCTAATAAAAGTATATAAAAAGGTATTTATAAAGAGAGAGAGAGAGAAATTAAAAAAACGTATCACAAGCTTATAATAACAAAAAGCGTGTTTTGGTCACCGAGGCATCTCGTTTTTTTTTTTTTTTCTTATCTGCCGATAGGATTCCGAGAACCCCTCGCACCTGTGGTCACCCCCTAGACAAGCATTCCATTGAGCGTCCTGTGGCCGGGTTTGAAAAGCTACTTGACCATATAATCAAGCAAAGATCAGTCATTGAATATCTCCTGAGATCTAGTAACGCTAATAAGAAACGGTATTGATCTCTGTAAAAAAGGCCTATTTATACACTATTGAGTGTACCTTTGAGTGAATTACGTATTGAAAGTTTATCAGTAAACTCGAATCTCTATAATGGCTTAGAAAATTAATAAAGTTAATAAACTCTTCTTCTTCTTTCTCATCTCCACACTGGGTGAATTAGAATGTGTCTTGCCTTTGTCATTAAGACTGGGAGCACTACTCAGAGACAGGCCGACTTAGCTCCAAAATAAATGGCCGCCTCTGACTTGAGGAACAGACGCCATGTGCAGCCACTCCTAACATGGAGTACAAACGCTGCTCATCTTGTATACCTGGATTAGGAGCTCTTACAGGGTACTATCAGCCAGGCCAGTTGAGCACAGATTTTTTAGTCAGCTTGTTACTGCTCCCCCTTCTCCTTTTTCATCCGGGCTTGGGACTGGCAAAGGCGGAGTTAGTTAATAAAGTGGAAAGACAAAATAAAGCATTCATATTAATTTCTTTTTTTTCAACTTTTTTTAAAATCAAAGAGAATAATGCCAATTTGTTAAATCATTACAGCCTTATGTAGTTTAATCTTTGAGAATTCAAACATTTCATGTTTTTGGAAAGAAATATAATATGTTGTTGGTCAAAGCATCTGTGAAATGTTTGAAATTGATTATTCTTTCTGCGATTTTACATTACATTAGAGAGAGTTGAGACAATAATTAAATGCCTTTTGAAACATAATTCCGGTTTTTGAGTCTGTCAATATTATCATAAGGAATAAACTTCTTTTCACATATGTAGACATGTGATGCACTTACAGTAAAAGCAGTCGCCAACTTCTACCCACCAAGTTTTTATGGCCTGTACCAGGTGTACTATGGATAATATGAAAAAAATAATAATAAGGAATATAAAGCTATACAAACAGTTTAACCGCATAAGTTTCTTTTTTATTCATGAAAAATCATTTTTAATTTCAAAGAGAAATATTTAATATTTCTAACTTTTGGAAGACGTATGAAAAGGTTGAATATATAAAGAGTGATGGTCTATATATGAATGGATGACGTATGGAAGGGTGAAAAATATGAAGAGTAATGGCGAACGGAAAAATAAAAGTGTCCCGGAGCGGGAATCGAACCCACAACCTTCTGCTTACCGGGCAGGTGCCATGTCCACTAGGCTACCCTGGACGTATTTCTTCGTTCGTAACTAATATTTAAATTGACTAATAATACTTATAAATGACTGCGGCGTATAATTATAAAGCTATACAACCAGTTTAACCGCATAAGTTTCATTTTTATTTATGAAAAATCATTTTTAATTTCAAAGATAAATATTTAATATTTCTAACTTTTGGATGACGTATGAAAAGGTTGAATATATGAAGAGTGATGGTCTATATATGAATGGATGACGTATGGGAGGGTGAAAAATATGAAGAGTAATGGCGAACGAAAAAATAAAAGTGTCCAGGAGCGGGAATCGAACCCACAACCTTCTGCTTACCGGGCAGGTGCCATGTCCACTAGGCTATCCTGGAAGTATTTCTCCGTTCGTAACTAATATTTGAACTGACTAATAATACTTATAAATGACTGCGGCGTATAATTATAAAGCTATACAAACAGTTTAACCGCATAAGTTTCTTTTTTATTTATGCGGTTTTACTTATGCGGTTAAAGTGTTTGTATAGCTTTATAATTATACGCCGCAGTCATTTATAAGTATTATTAGTCAGTTTAAATATTAGTTACGAACGGAGAAATACGTCCAGGATAGCCTAGTGGACATGGCACCTGCCCGGTAAGCAGAAAGCTGTGGGTTCGATTCCCGCTCCTGGACACTTTTATTTTTCCGTTCGCCATTACTCTTCATATTTTTCACCCTTCCATACGTCATCCATTCATATATAGACCATCACTCTTCATATATTAAACCTTTTCATACGTCATCCAAAAGTTAGAAATATTAAATATTTCTCTTTGAAATTAAAAATGATTTTTCATAAATAAAAAATAAACTTATGCGGTTAAACTGTTTGTATAGCTTTATAATTATACGCCGCAGTCATTTATAAGTATTATTAGTCAGTTTAAATATTAGTTACGAACGGAGAAATACGTCCAGGATACGTCATCCATTCATATATAGACCATCACTCTTCATATATTCAACCTTTTCATACGTCATCCAAAAGTTAGAAATATTAAATACTAGACGAATGACCCGGGCAACGCCCGGGTTTTACCCTATTAAATGTACTCTGTTTCACCCGTGGTCTCTGTTTTTTTGGAATTTTTCCCGATATAATTTTGTATCTGATAATCAAACATGATACAGCAAAATTTTTAAAATAGCCTATCGTCTTCCCAGTATTCTTTTACCTATGTATCGTAATTTTGGTTTGAATTAGTGAACTACTGCGAATTTGTAGACGAATGACCCGGGCAACGCCCGGGTTTACACGATTAAATGTATATTACATATGGAAGATGGACGTAGTTCCCGGAGGGCACCCGCGAGGTCACTCTGCCCCCGCGCAACTGTCCAACCGGGAGCGCGCCCCGCCGTCAAAATCGACACGCGATCTAGAGGGCGCTGCTCGTGAGCTCCCGGCAGCCGGGAGATCTCATTTACTCGGCGGGTGGGGGGGGGGGGGGGGGGCAGGGAAGTCACGTGCTGCGCCGGCAGCCAATCGTCGCGCGCCGCCGTCGACGCTTGAGTGTTCTAGAGGGCGCTGCTCGTGAGCTAAGTTGAATAATTTGAATATATAGTTTTAATAAATGATTTATATATATTTTAAAATAGCCTATCGTCACCCCCGTTATTTTTTACCTTGTATGGAAATTTTGGTTTGAATTAGTGAACTACTGCGAATTTGTATACCGGACATACCAACAGACCAACAAACATACAAACATACAAACATTCATTTTTATATATATAGATTTCTCTTTGAAATTAAAAATGATTTTTCATAAATAAAAAAGAAACTTATGCGGTTAAACTGTTTGTATAGCTTTATAATTATACGCCGCACTCATTTATAAGTATTAGTAGTCAGTTTAAATATTAGTTACGAACGGAGAAATACGTCCAGGATAGCCTAGTGGACATGGCACCTGCCCGGTGAGCAGAAGGTTGTGGGTTCGATTCCCGCTCCTGGACACTTTTATTTTTTCCGTTCGCCATTACTCTTCATATTTTTCACCCTTCCATACGTCATCCATTCATATATAGACCATCACTCTTCATATATTCAACCTTTTCATACGTCATCCAAAAGTTAGAAATATTAAATATTTCTCTTTGAAATTAAAAATGATTTTTCATAAATAAAAAATAAACTTATGCGGTTTAAACTGTTTGTATAGCTTTATAATTATACGCCGCAGTCATTTATAAGTATTATTAGTCAGTTTAAATATTAGTTAGGAACGGAGAAATACGTCCAGGATAGCCTAGTGGACATGGGACCTGCCCGGTGAGCAGAAGGTTGTGGGTTCGATTCCCGCTCCTGGACACTTTTATTTTTCCGTTCGCCATTACTCTTCATATTTTCACCCTTCCATACGTCATCCATTCATATATAGACCATCACTCTTCATATATTCAACCTTTTCATACGTCATCCAAAAGTCAGAAATATTAAATATTTCTCTTTGAAATTAAAAATGATTTTTCATAAATAAAAAAGAAACTTATGCGGTTAAACTGTTTGTATAGCTTTATAATTATACGCCGCAGTCATTTATAAGTATTATTAGTCAGTTTAAATATTAGTTACGAACGGAGAAATACGTCCAGGATAGCCTAGTGGACATGGCACCTGCCCGGTAAGCAGAAGGTTGTGGGTTCGATTCCCGCTCCTGGACACTTTTATTTTTCCGTTCGCCATTACTCTTCATATTTTCACCCTTCCATACGTCATCCATTCATATATAGACCATCACTCTTCATATATTCAACCTTTTCATACGTCATCCAAAAGTTAGAAATATTAAATATTTCTCTTTGAAATTAAAAATGATTTTTCATAAATAAAAAAGAAACTTATGCGGTTAAACTGTTTGTATAGCTTTATAATTATACGCCGCAGTCATTTATAAGTAATAAGGAATATATCTATCAATCAAGGATCTCGCAAACATATTTTTATGATTTATAAGCCACGTTTCAGTGACAACATCCCAAGTAAATCTACACAATCTATCATAGCTTAATGTGACTTAGAGCTATCACTCACCATGTGACTTTCAGCTGTAGTTGTGTCAGGTCTTGTTTCATCACCACAGATCTCATTGGCTTGGGAATAATTGTCTTGTTGTGTTGGCCCACTTTGTAATAAGACTTTGTCGCTGCTGGAATTCTTGGAATCGTACTGGAAACCTGTATAGTTTGATGGTATTGTGGAAAGCCTTACCTGAGAATTTTCCGAGATTAATTGAATAAAATGCCACTTGTTGTTGGCGTTCAATCTTCATTACTAGAGGCATGGAAAAATTCTGACTTCCTAAATCATATTCAAAATACAATATAACGCGGCTGATGATTGTAAAACGAAAATTAAAATTATACCGCGAATGTTTCTTTTAAAAATCGAAATTTATTTTCAAAGAGAAATAACGACATTTCTAACTTTGAGGATGAGGTATGGAAAGGTGAAACATGAAGAGTAATGGAGAACGGAAAAATAAAAAGTGTCCAGGGGCGGGAATCGAACCCACACCCTTCTGCTTACCGGGCAGGTGCCTTGTCCACTCGGCTACCCTGGACGTATTTTTCCGTTCATATAAGTTATGAACGGAAAAATACGTCCAGGGTAGCCGAGTGGACAAGGCACCTGCCCGGTAAGCAGAAGGGTGTGGGTTCGATTCCCGCCCCTGGACACTTTTTATTTTTCCGTTCTCCATTACTCTTCATGTTTCACCTTTCCATACCTCATCCTCAAAGTTAGAAATGTCGTTATTTCTCTTTGAAAATAAATTTCGATTTTTAAAAGAAACATTCGCGGTATAATTTTAATTTTCGTTTTTAAATCATATTCGTTTGTTGAAGGCCAAATTATATTTGTTTCATCAAGTTGAGTACGAAGTTTTCATTTTTCTTTTTCCTGAACGATTTCTGCAATGAATTCCTGCATGACTTCCACTAGATTCTGGTTTCAATTCTTTACCTTATGACTTTCTTCTACGTCGTTGTTTTCTCCGTTTTCGCTTCGTGGTTCCATCCATTGTTATGGAAATTATCTCTTGAAATCAGAAATCCATGATATTCCAAAGAATTATTCACAATTTGCTCTACACTTCCTTGTAGGTTTGAAGTATTGCTGTCTTCTTGTTGGAATCTGGGTGCTATTTAGAATTGGATTTATGTTCCTAGTCATTCCTATTATTTTTGTCGCAAAATATCTTCAGTGTAAGAATTAACTATCTATTGTAATGGGGCCATAATGAGAACCACTTTTTAACAAATATAATCTATAACATATAATTGTGTAAATAAAAAATTCACATTTCAAAGATGCTTTGACTCCAACAACATATTATATTACTTTCCAAAACATAAAATATGATAATTCGCAAATATTAAACTACATGAGGTGGTAATGAATCAACAAATTGGAATTATTATCTTTGATTTTAATAAAAGTTGAAAAAAAAAAGATGAAATTGATAAGAATGTTTTGTTTTGCTTTCTTAATTTCCTTAGACATTATAGAGATTCAATTTCACTGATCAACGACATCAATTCAAAACTTCAACATCCCGAGATAACTTGAAACTACTGTCTTGAAGACTGAGGTTGTCTGGCCGGCACACATTCATTGTTCTTGAAATATAAGACACTTCGGCCAGTATCAAAACCTCGATAGATATTGAAATATTTTTTGAAAAAAATATCTGGTAATACAACAGAAAGAACTAATTATTCTATACCATTTTATTAATAGTATAAATATTAAATACGTAAATATATATCCTGAAGTTATCTTCTTCTTATCTCCTCACTGGGTGAAGTAGAATGTGTCTGCCTTTGTCATTAAGACTGGGAGCACTACTCAGTGGCAGGCCACTGACTTTGCTCCAAAAGAAATGGCTGCCTCTGACATGAGGAACAGACGCCATGTGCAGCTGCTTCTAACTTGGAGTACAAACGCTGCTAATCCATTATCAATAGCATCAGTT